CTTCCACCATTAACAAAACAACTGTCACGAGGGATGCGTCACATCAAAATATAAAAATGATGCTTATAGAAAATTGCATTAAAAACCACAATAATACAAACTTAATAAAACACAAAAATAATATCAATACAAACTGCAAACAAATTACAGTAATAAAAATTCAATGAAAAATTCCACTAACAAAAATTGCAATCAAAATTATATTAACTCAAGCTACGAATTAAAATTACAGTCACGAGAACCGTAGTAAAAATTCCAATAAAAATGATCCTACAAAACTGCAAGAGAAATTAATAAAACAATTATCACGTGGGATGCATCACATCAAAATATGAATAAAAATGATGCTAATAGAAAATTGCATCAAAAACTGCAGTAATACAGCAAACAAACTACAGCAATAAAAATTCTACCAAAATCTCCATGAACTAAAATTGCAATAAAAATTATGTTAAATCAAGCTACGAATTAAAATTACAGTCACGAGAACCGTAATAAAAATTCCAATAAAACTGACACTACAAAACTGCAAGAGAAATTAATAAAACAATTTTCACGTGGGATGCATCACATCAAAATATAAATAAAAATGATGCTAATACAAAATTGCATTAAAAACTACAAAAACTGTAGTAATACAAACTGCAAACAAACTACAGCAATAAAAATTCTATATTGATGCATCACGCAAAGTTTAATATTATATATAAGACTTTATAATTTTGCAAATCAAATCAAGTGGTGGCTGAGAGTCACCTCGAGTGCAAAGGGTTAACTCAAACTACGAATTAAAATTACAGTCACGAGAACCGTAGTAAAAATTCCAATAAAACTGATGCTACAAAACTACAAGAAAAATTACAACGAAAACAGTAAGAAAAGTTGCAATAAAAGGAAAAATCTATTACTTACCAGCGGCTAGTATCGTATCGATCCGACAACGTGACCCGCGAATAAAACGAAAACTCCTGGAATAGAAAAGCCACTCGGATCGATCCGTCTATTTGTGCCTCGACGCGATGCATCCGCAGCTCCGAAACGGCGATCCACGCTAATTTTTCCGGTACATCTGATCCCGTTCGTAGCCCCGAATTCCAATAACGTTTTCCTTCCTCCGGCCGGTTTCTTTTTTTTTCCACCGGCGTGGATCCCGATTTAATAGAATTTCCGTGGCTCGGTGTCGATCAATTCCGAAGGCAATGTCTCCGGAACGGCTCTCGGCTGGCCGACGGCCAGTTCCGACTGTATTTCCTCGCCGATTTCGATCGAGCTTCGCTGCGAAGCCCTTAAAACTGCCTGGAACCTCCCCATTAAGAATCTGGCTGGCTAATTAGCGGCCGGATCCTACCGAATTGGTCGTTGACTAAATATCAGCGTACAGTGTAATCGAGATTACGAAGTGTTTCGTATTCCGCGAGCGTTCCGTTCGATTTGAAACGGGAAGGACGAGGGTAATGCTTTGGTTGATTGACTGGTTGTCTCGTGATTCGGGATGTGGTTGAGAATAAGGTTTTGAATGAAATAGATGACTGAATTTGGGAGTTTTGTGGTGGAGATGGGGTGATTTCATTTTCTGATTTTCTGTAGGGCAGGATGGAGTGTTTGATGGAGGAAATGTGGGAGTTGGTAAATGATGATGATTGCAGAGAAGTGTACAGTAATTTAAAAATAATGATTTTATAGTGTTCGAGAATAATTTGGAAATATTTCGCTAGAATTCGAACTAATTCAGAGATAATTTCGCAATTATTCGGAAATAATTGAAAAATAATAACTTTACAAGTATTTGAAAATAATTTAGAAACAATTTTGCAAGAGTTTGAAATAATTCAGAGATAATTTCACAAGTATTAGGAAATAATTAAAATATAATTTCGCAAGAGTCCGAAACAATTCCGAATCAATTCCGCAAGTACTCCAAAATAATTTAAAACTAACTTCGCAACACTCGTCGTATCTCGAGAGCCAGCCAAACACGCGCGAGACGTTAAACTTCCCCGAATCTTTCATTCCGCAATCGTTTAACATTGTTCACCCCGAATCACAGTCTCTCACGATCAGCAGAAACGGGTTTAGAAGCGTCCCGCTCGTGAAATCGGCGGAGATAAGGGCGAGAAAGACGCGTGGAAGTGTTCCAAAAAGAAGGAGCATCTCCTCCCCGTGATACGTCGAGTGAAAGAGTACGAGACCGTTCCGTCCCGCGCTATCAGCTCGTGTGCATCGCAAAAAGTTTCCCCAGGACCACGAAATATCGCGAAAGTAAGTTCGCGGAAGCCATCAGCCGCAACCCCTTCCACAAGACAGCTGGGAGACGAACGAATATCCTCCGAAGGAATTTTCCGGACGGTTAGCGTCGCCGAGTTCGATAATTGGACGTAATCAACATGGAAACGAGCCTGGAGAACAGCTTTGGGTTTAAGAACTTTTCTAAGCGACCCTTCAAGTAAACACCGGCTTCAACCCCTTGCCCTGCAACGAGTGAGACTCGTGAAGATTTTCAACATGATTTAACATATATATATATATGTTATATATATCAGTTCATTCGAATTCAAAGTGAATATTATTCCTCTGTAATCAAGTATTATACTTAAAAGGAAATATAGGTATAACATATGCTTCGAATTTTTCTCTTTTTCCAATAAATTATTAATGACAAAGTAGCCGTATCGATCAGAGTTGAGAAAGAAATCATAGGGCAAGGGGTTAACGATGAGAACAATAGTAACAATAGCAACAGTAGTAGTACTAGTGACAACAATAATAATAACAATAGTAGTAAGAACAGCAACAATAATAGCCACAACAATAGTAATAACAATAGTAACAACGATGAAAATTCGATATATTTCAATGAAAGAGTTGGGAAAGAAATCATAGGCCAAGAGGTTAACGATGAGAACAATAGTAATAATAGCAGCAACAATAGGGTACTAGTGACAACAATAATAATAACAATAGTAGTGCGAACAACAACAATAACAGTAACAACAGTAGTAATAATAATAGTAATAACGATGAAAATTCGATATATTTCAATGAAAGAGTTGTAAAAGAAATCATAGGCCAAGGGATTAACGATGAGGACAATAGTAATAATAGTAGCAACAGTAGCAGTACTAGTGACAACAATAATAATAACAATAGTAGTGAGAACAACAACAATAACAATAGTAGTGAGAACAACAACGATGAAATTTCGATATATTTCAATGAAAGAGTTGAGAAAGAGATCATAGGCCAAGGGGTTAAAGGCGACGAAATCGATGAACGCGTTGCTAACTAGGAACTTCTCGCGAAGTGGAGTGTTATTTCAATGCAGAAATGAAAATTCTATGAGTTGACAATTCGACTAATTGACATCTATAATTCTTTCCCATATTTCCGGCTTCATACTCGCAGTATGATTTTTACGTTCGATGTTAGTCTAACTCTTTCAGACATCTAACGAGTTCAAAGAGTGCCTCTTAAATGATTTTAAACGAAGAATTTAATATGAGCATTTAATTGAAATATATGATTCAGTTTATAAAGCTGCTTCAGACGAAATGTCTAGAATAATGGATTATTGGACACATGGGGTATTTAAATAGTTACGCAGTATTGTCTGTCGCCGTCAAATATTGAATGTTAATACATTATCGAACATTAATATCCAATATTAACCGGTAATATCAAATCACACTCAATATTCACTATTATCAAATGGATATTCACCATTAACCAATACTAAATATGATTACCGAACGCTAAGCATTAATTACTACCACGCATTAATACTCGATACTATTATTCAATATCAACTACTAGCAAACGATTACTCAACATCAACAATCTTTCGTAATAATATCGCCCATACATTACAACACAGGATCAAAATAAACCCAGCCATCGCTAGTCACCACCCTCTATTTTTATAACTATCAAACATTCAGCCTCAACTACCAGCAAACGATTATTCAACATCACTATCACAATCAAACAACCACTCTCCAGCAACAATCATC